TTCATTAGTTTGAGGATGATATCGTGGATATCTGTCTGAAGCTGCTGGATTTGAACCCAAAGTGTGTGAAAGACGCACAGGAGGATCATTCAGCGCGCTGTAACCCCATCTACATCAGTCGAGTCGTCAGCACCATGGTAAACAACACAACACACAACTCCAATCCACTCCACTGCACTGAACTCCACTATACTACGCTACACTGCACTGCACTACACTACACTACACTGCACTACACTACACTGCACTACACTGCACTACACTACACTACACTACACTACACTGCACTACACTGCACTACACTACACTACACTACACTGAACTACACTCCACTCCACTCCACTGCACTGCACTCCACTACACTGCACTGCACTCCACTCCACTCCACTGCACTCCACTGCACTACACTCCACTACACTCCACTGCACTCCACTCCACTCCACTGCACTCCACTGCACTCCACTCCACTCCACTGCACTCCACTGCACTGCACTGCACTCCACTGCACTCCACTGCACTCCACTGCACTCCACTCCACTGCACTGCACTCCACTGCACTGCACTGCACTGCACTGCACTCCACTGCACTCCACTCCACTGCACTCCACTACACTGCACTCCACTACACTGCACTACACTCCACTGCACTGCACTCCACTGCACTCCACTCCACTGCACTGCACTCCACTACACTGCACTCCACTGCACTCCACGGCACTGCACTCCACTGCACTGCACTCCACTGCACTGCACTCCACTGCACTCCACTCCACTGCACTGCACTCCACTGCACTCCACTCCACTGCACTCCACTACACTGCACTCCACTACACTGCACTCCACTCCACTGCACTCCACTACACTACACTGCACTCCACTACACTGCACTGCACTCCACTGCACTCCACTACACTGCACTCCACTGCACTCCACTACACTGCACTCCACTCCACTGCACTCCACTGCACTGCACTGCACTGCACTCCACTGCACTCCACTCCACTGCACTCCACTACACTGCACTCCACTACACTGCACTCCACTGCACTCCACTACACTGCACTCCACTACACTGCACTGCACTGCACTGCACTGCGCTCCACTGCACTCCACTACACTGCACTCCACTGCACTCCACTACACTGCACTCTACTCCACTCCACTACACTGCACTCCATTCCACTATACTACACTGCACTGAACTCCACTCCACTGCACTGCACTACACTACACTGCACTCCACTGCACTCCACTGCACTCCACTCCACTGCACTGCACTCCACTGCACTACACTGCACTACACTCCACTGCACTACACTGCACTACACTCCACTGCACTACACTCCACTCCACTGCACTACACTGCACTCCACTGCACTCCACTCCACTGCACTCCACTGCACTGCACTGCACTCCACTGCACTACACTCCACTCCACTGCACTGCACTCCACTCCACTCCAATGCACTACACTCCACTGCACTGCACTGCACTCCACTGCACTCCACTGCACTGCACTGCACTGCACTGCACTCCACTGCACTGCACTGCACTCCACTACACTGCACTACACTCCACTGCACTCCACTACACTGCACTCCACTGCACTCCACTGCACTGCACTCCACTGCACTGCACTCCACTGCACTGCACTCCACTGCACTGCACTCCACTGCACTCCACTCCACTGCACTGCACTCCACTGCACTCCACTACACTGCACTCCACTACACTGCACTCCACTGCACTCCACTACACTACACTGCACTACACTGCACTGCACTCCACTGCACTCCACTGCACTCCACTACACTGCACTGCACTGCACTCCACTACACTGCACTGCACTCCACTGCACTCCACTCCACTACACTGCACTCCACTACACTGCACTGCACTGCACTCCACTACACTGCACTCCACTGCACTCCACTGCACTGCACTCCACTGCACTACACTCCACTCCACTGCACTGCACTCCACTCCACTCCAATGCACTACACTCCACTGCACTGCACTGCACTGCACTCCACTGCACTCCACTCCACTGCACTGCACTGCACTCCACTGCACTCCACTGCACTGCACTGAACTACACTGCACTGCACTACACTGCACTACACTCTACTCCGCTGCACTGAACTACACTGCACTGCACTCCACTGCACTGCACTGAACTACACTGCACTGCACTACACTCTACTCCACTGCACTGCACTGCACTACACTCTACTCCGCTGCACTCCACTCCACTGCACTGAACTACACTCCACTGCACTACACTCTACTCCACTGCACTGCACTGCACTACACTCCACTACACTCCACTACACTACACTGAACTACACTACACTGCACTGAACTCCACTACACTACACTACACTGCACTGCACTACACTACACTCCACTACACTACACTGAACTACACTACACTCCACTGCACTGAACTCCACTACACTACACTGCACTGAACTCCACTGCACCTCACCAATGTGTTGAA